ACTTTTGCAAAGCTTCTCCGAGCTGGAATTAATAAGAGGAGAAAATTAATAACACAAGGCCAATCACAGTCACAGACACCACCACCAAGAATATACTCGCCACGTGTTTCGCCTCTCTACGAGGCATCCTCTGGGGTTGTAGAATGTTCGGCGCTCGGCGGAAGAAATTGTTCAGAAATGGATGAGAGGGCAATGAAAAGATTTTACATCGTCAGTAATAAGTATGGAATTATATCAAATTTCGTATTCACTGTTTTCCTACACGATTTTGGGCAGAAATGGGTAAAAACACGGTTAAAACGGTGGCAATTTGATTGGAATTTAACCTATTGTCCATCTCTGCTCGTGACTTATATTGTCATCCATATTATAACTAACGTGATCGACGTTTTTAGAGAAAATATCGAGTATATAATCAAAAATAGAGACGAAATAAGGGCCATCCATCCCTGGCAACTCATCAGGCAAATTGGCCTTATATCGCTTTTAAATATCAACTCTCATTTGCACTGAAATCACTAATTAGAAGGCTGGAATAGAACATCGCCAACAACCGTGACCATGGGACCTGTAAAGGGCCTGAAACGTCGGTTTGTTTGAAAAAACAAATATACGCGAGATAAATCCGGAAAAATAGTTTCATTTCCTATATGTAACAATCGCGAAAACCCAAGAACTCGATATATTTAAAGTGATTATTGAATATATAGCGGTTTCCTTGTAAGTTTTTTCTATAGTGAAAACTTTTAGGAATCGTTTTTTTACACCGTATGCGAATCAGTTCATATCCTCAATTTTACTACATTTTTTTCCAAAGTGTTCGTTGTGTTTTTTTTTAATTAAATGGACTTGACCTTGAGCACTACCTAGAGTATAAAAGATGCCTATTCGCACCTTAAAGATAGATAGGGTTGAATGAGTTCGGAAACACAATCGCAGACAGGACTGGGCTGTGCGCTTAATAAAAGATGATGTAAAGCGCTTAGTACGCCTGAAGGGAATACCGACCAAGTCAGGATGATATCACGCCGTACGTCTGGATGTCCGATGGTGACAGGGGGAGTGGCGGGATGAACTGATGGATCTCATGGGCACACTCACCGAAATGTATTATGTAAAAAACCGACATACGAGCAACTTTGCGCCGGTGGGCTATTTTTCATTAGAGGAAGTACTGGATCCCAAACTGGTGGTACGGAGAAAATAACTGGTTGAAGACTGTACCACCTCAGTCAACAGTGACCATGGGACCTGTAAAGGGCCCGAAACGTCGGTTTGTTTGAAAAAACAAATATACGCGAGATAAATCCGGAAAAATAACGGAAAAAAACTTTGCGCCGGTGGGCTAAGATATGAAGTTTAGATTCGACCTTATCGTCGCCAAAAAGTCTCCTGGCTACGCGCTCAATCGAATTGTTATGATCAAAACCATTTGAAGTTGTATCGACACTTGAGGCTCTAACCTTAGTCCATCATCCTTCATTATTATTTCCAATTCTCTGGCTTTTTGTTTTCATTTACGATCCCAGACATATATTTTTTCAATTCCCATTGTATTTTCGACCGAAATAAACCAATTACAGCGAATGATCTCATTATTCTGTCAGTTGCAAAATAATTGTACCGCAATGTATACAAGCCCGTCATGCTGTAACATAATTTTGCATAGCTTTTGTTAACACAGGTAAAATTAACCGGTTTCCAGTATTTTTATATAAAGTATACATTATTGCAGAGGCCGGGAAATAAGGGATTCCTGGATAAGTTTGAGTTACAAGGACGAGCGCCAGCGAAGACTTGAAGCTTTGTGTTAATACGAGTCAAGCAATCCGGGTTCCCGCCGAGTTATGTATAAAATTTTTCTCAAACAATGTGAGGAATTAATAAAAGACTAAAAACAGGAAAATATTTAATAGGAAAACTTGACGTATTCCCACAATTGCTAGAATAAAATGTTACTGTTTTTTCAGGCACATTAATAAACATGTCTACTGAACGTCTGATAATGTGTTTGAATGTATATCTATTACTCTATTTTCGTTATCGCTCTTCTCACTAGCACTCATTTTCGCGACCAAAATACAAAAAAGATGAAAAAACAAAAAAACACTTTAGTTTAAGTGTTGCCGCCATTTTCTTTTTTTTAAGTAAGCGGTATAGGTAGGTATTTTTAATTCTCGTGACTATGAACACTGGGCAGTTGGCTGTATGAGTTTTTCTTTTGCCAGTTTACATAGTTCTTTATTAGTAGGTAGATTTAAAAGTTTAGAGAAGTGGACATTATTGGACTTTCACACTTACTCGTACTTTGCAGGCTTTGGCCGGGAAGAAGACGCGCGGTCCAAAAATGATAAACATTTCGTGTGCGTATTTTGAAAGTAATGAAAAAATTTGCGAATTTACTAATCCACAATTCGAGTATGAATTTACTAATCAATAATTATTAATACAAAGGTCGCACACAAAGACTGCTGCCTATGTATATTGCCTCCGAACGGTAGCTATGCACGCAGAGGTTTCGGGTTCAACTCCCAGGAGAAATATTTGTATGACTTACATTTATTTCTCTCGTGGTTGTAATTTATGGTCCATGTATGTGTCCATGGCAACCCCGACACAGGGTTTCCATAGTGCGGGGTTATAAGTGTGTGCTTTAAAAAAAAGTGTCACATCAAGTCATTAGTACGCAGAAGAGTCTTAAATCAAATCTCCTTGTTACAGACAGTAAATGTCGCATAAATTCAAATGCTATGCAATTTGTGGTGAAATTTTCCGCTAAACGCAAACGCGTTCAAAGAGCCAACGATTAGCTGTCTAGGAAAATGTTGAGTGAAAGCCGTCTCGTTAGGCCTTCACAACATTTATCGACATGGAATCGGACTTTAAGGCGGTCAGGAAAATCTTTATGTCAGTGTAATAAGAGCGAAGAAGTCTTTTTCATTCTTACTGCACAGGCCCAATGCTTTTTTTGATCTTATTCTGTGGAAGTGGACATTTCCAGGTTAGCAGGAAATGGAAATGACGACCTCGGTGGCCTAAAGGTTTGAACATTGGATTGAAGTCCGGGTTCGATTCCCGATAGGCTAAATATCGTGAATCGAACCCGGATATTGATATTTTGTATAAAAAACACTAGCAGTAGAGCTCCTTGTAAAAGAGTTCGCCCAGGGAAACTACTGCTACCTTACCTCTTTCTGCCGCCAAGCAGTAATGTGACCATTACTGCGGTCAGGTTTTGAAGGGTAAAGGTGCTAGTGAAATTACAGACACATAGGACTTGTCACTTGGGCTTTGTCCCAGGGTGACAGGCGCAGTAGCAGTGTCCCTCATATCTTTGCGATTTCAAGCTGTGGCTTACCATCAGACTCACGACTTGTTCATCCCGTCACTTGATATTATTAAAAAAAAACTTCATAGGTACTATCCCTACATCATTTATTTTGATCACGGCGTCCTACAGATCTCGAGAAGTAAGGTGAAAATTGGCGCTTATCAAGCATTGACTTACAAATAAATGGACGACGGGTCTAATACAAAAACCACGAAAAAAATATCCCAAGTCAATCTATTTAAACGTAGTGACATGTAAAGGAATATGAAAAAGCTAAAACGTTGAATTTAAATTGTAATGTCATCGCAGTACTGTCTAATTTTGCTTGCTTCGCTGTCAGTCGAACAAACGAAGACTAAAGCGCGAATGACGCTCTGTATACGATCTTAACGCCCTATAAGTTCGGACACTTTTTAGCGCGGACCCGACGTCCATATAATTGTAAGTCAATGTTGTCAAATATATCCTTCGCCTAATAAGGGGTCAGTCCCCACTCTATTGGCTCAGATACCTTTTTTATCCCGCCAATACCTCGGTTCTCTACATATAATCTGCACGGAGACACTAAAGCGGACAACATTCTACGAGGTTCTGGACAGAATCTTTAAATAGAATTAATGATACTGTCATGTTCGGTAACCCTTAATCGACATCGGCTGGTTGCTACTTGGAGACGTATACCGCCTGAAGCTCTATGATTGAAACTCAGAAGCATGCTTTTGGGCAGCAGCTTACTTACATGTTTAGATGATGTTACTGTTAGTGTAAGTTGTATAATCTTAATAAATGAATAAAATACAGAAAAAGATGAAGCTGCGTGAAATTTCAGGCACATGGGCCTTGTTAACTTATGTGCCCGGTGCCCATTGACTTACAATTATATGGACGTCGGGTCCGCGCTAAAAAGTGTCCGCACTTGTAAGGCGCTAAAATCTTATACAGAGCGCCAAACTCCGCTTTAGTCTTCATTTGTTCGACTGACAGCGCGATACTGCGATGACATTACAATTTAAATTTCGAATAGGTTGACTTGGGACATTTGTTTCGTGGTTTTTGTATTAGACCCGTCGTCCATTTATTTGTAAGTCAATGCCGGTGCCCCTCAAGTCTTTGCAATTTAATGCTGTCAATTTTCAATGGACAGGCATGTCACATAACACCAGGCGCACGATTTGTTCGTACCGTTACTTGGAATCATAAAAAATATAGAGAGCTAAGCATATTTTCCGTATTTACAAAACTAAGTTTCCCGAAAAAATTTGAAATAACAAATATACGCGATTAGGTAGACAAGAAAAAATAGTTTTATTTCCAATGTATAACAATTGCGGAAACCTAAGAACTTTGCCAAAATTTTAACAAAGAAATTAAATTAATATTAAGACTAAGTTCCTTGCATTTTTGCTTGGTAGTAATCAAATTCGTTTTTCAAATCTCAGCCTTCGTGGCACTTTTTGAAAAATCACTTGGAACTTTGCAGTACTGTAATCTTTCTGAAAGGTGTACCTGGCAGGCTTAGCGTAGACAGAGTTTTCAACTGGTACAGTGTATAGTCTTTTTTTTACTTATAACTAACTCTACTCGCATTTCTCTTCCATCGCAAATCGTCCACCGGTCAAGTTCTCGGCCGCAGTCTCAGTAGCGTCGCGCAACCGACCGCGCGAGCCGCCATTTTTACAATTTCGAAATTCGATCGCGAATGGTGTGAACGTACAGAAAAATAAATGTTTTTCTTTTTTTATAAGTGCCATAGATAAACATAGGAAGTGAAAATGGTGTGTAAGGTGGCACCAAAACTTAATTCCCGTAAGTTTTTAAATATGATTTTTTTTAATTTTATTATTATTCGTGTATAGTTTATATCGGTTAAAATACAAAGAAATAACTAGAATTTCATTCTCATCATAATCATCAACTCATTCATACGTTCCACTGCTGAGCACGGATCAATGCGGTTTGGAAACTTCACGTGTTTTCCGGAAATTGTGAACCTTCTTCAACCAGCAGGTTTCATCACTATATTTACTTTCAGCGGAAACTCATGGTAAATTTCAAATTAAATTTTGCACCTAAATTCCGAAAACGTCTAATTCGAACTCGCGACCTCAGCCTGAGAGGCAGTTGAACAAACCATTAGGCAATTACTATGCTACAATTTTAATTTTATCAAAACTATTATTACATCAGAAATGCTTTGTTTATTAAAATTAAAATTCTTTAACTAAAACAGACCTGAAAGGTGATTTGTTTCCAACTTAATCTTAGAACTAAGTCCAAACTCATGGTGCCACGATTTCGTTAAATAAGGTAAACTATTCTTTTATGGGGAACTGTACAGATACGTTTTTACAATAAGATTCTGGAGCATATATTGAAATTACCATTTCCTAAGTTTAAATACATAAAAAACATTTTAATTAAAAAGTCATATTAAATAAAGATGTATGGAAAGATCGCATGAGTCTAAATTCCCCAGAAATTTGATTCAAAGTGTTTTTTATAGTATTTACTTAAGTTTATTTGAAAAGAGCAATTCGTAGAGTTTCTTACTCGTTCTTCTCAGGGAAGTCAGCATAGTGAACGAGCAGTAGTTTAAAATAACGCGTTTTCATGTGTCTATTTATTTTACATATGGAATATACGATTCTTTGACCTTCCTGGTGCGTACAGAAAAATGATACAATGTGTTTCTTTTTTGCGATTACTAAGTGATGAGACGAACAAAGATCTGTAGGGCACTGCCACTGCGACCGTCACGCCGAAACATAAATTGACAAGTTCCATATATTAGGTACTGCTTGCAGAAATAGGTAAGGTGGCAGTACTTCCCTGGAGGAACTCTTTCACAAGGAACTCTACAGCTACTGCAAATGTAATTAGTATTTCCCGAAATTTAGAATTCAAGGCTATTCAAAACCTCAAATTGCTTCGGTTTATTCCACATAATAACGAAATCGTTGAATCAATCACTTTGGTTGAAAAATACGCGCTTCCTAAAAATTTTCACGATAATCAAAAAACATAAACTTATCACGAAATTGTACAAGAAAACCACTGTACTCAATTGGTACTTTATATATATCAATGATTTTTTTTTAATGTCAACTAAACTAAATAGAACACGTATAGTACGACATACATTATTCAAATGGTTTTAATTTCGAGTTAGGTTTTCGCGATTGTTACAAATAGGAAATGAAACTAATTTTTCCGGATTTAAAAATTAAAATTTTTAAATCCGTAAAATATTTTAAGGTTTTAATTTCGTTTGAAAAAAAAATTCTGAAATAAAGCCAGTGTTTCTGCTACTCGATCCGCGCAATAGAACCTATTCAGTTCGGGAAAAAATTATATTCGAGCTAAGAGTCGATACTCTCATCAAGTGCGTCTTTACATAAAAAATGCCAAAATCGGTATTAAGACGTAAATAATATTTTTTTAAAAGCCGGAAACACACGGAGCGTATCGATATCGCGTATCACATGCTAATCTACGGTTAACAAGATAAAAATGACCATACCATTGTGTTCAAGCCTTTATTCGAAACTGTTAATGCATTTGCCGATTAATGTGATGAACGTTTCATTAAACGCAGACTACATTATTTTAATGCTACCAAGTGACAAGTCGTGCGCCTGTTGGTAAGCGACACGCCTGTCCACAACAGTTGCAGTGCCAGTCAGAACTTTAAACCGATAATTGCTGAGGAACACGACTCCTACGCTTGTCTCCCTGAGACATAAGTTGACAAGCCCCATGTGCTTGTAATTTCACCAGTATCTTTGCCCTTTTACATTGCTTGGCGACAGAAATAGGTAAGAACTGTTTCTCAAGGAGCTCTACTACTAACCTCATTATGCTGCTGTACGAGCTAAGACCAACTACCCCAGTAATAAATCTATTACTTATGACTGTTGCTCTCACTGTGTTAGATTGACTGACTCAATAACTCCCTGAATAAAAAAATATGGAAAATACATATGAAATGAAACTACTTCTTGGGGTATACATCGCGCACATTTGATTTGAAAAAGTAATAAAAAAAACTTGAAAAGTAGTTTCTTGCGAATTAAAAAAAATAAACTATTTGAAACTATTACCGATAAAACTAATGAGTAGAAAACTACAAACATTAAAATTTACTAAGAAAACAAACCCGTAATGAAATCGGCCACATCTTGAGGTTGTTTAATTTTACATTAAAAATGGCTTTTGTAAAATTACTGCAGTGTCGAAAAATTTTTACAATACTTATATTTAAATATTTTATGACATTGTTATACATACATATTATGAATTCGCACCTTTAGTGTTATCTATCACACAACTTTCAAAAGTGAGTCTTATAGATATGAACGAAATTTACGACATCCATGCCCCAACGATTTGCACTGTGGGCACTAGATGGGGAGGTCTCGGGTTCAATTACCAGTAGGACCAATTTGGGGAATGAAATTTTGGAGTGTTCTGGTTAATATCCCGGGCTGAATTCCGTTGGTTTGGTACTTATAGAACAGGGGATTTTGTATGTAATGAGATTGAGACCTGGTAATTGGTTGTGGCTTCAGGGCACTACCTAGACTACCCAGCAGTAATTATTCAGTTTATTTTAATTTTTAATCTGACATTTTACTTTATAAATATTTGTATTACCTACGTATAAAAACGTAATGAATTATTGTTATTATTTATGAATAATGTGTACTTTGTTCGCACTATATTTTTATGTATTTTGACTTCAACAACTATTGCGTCTAGATAAGTCCAGAGTCCATTGTGAAAACCGTTAAACCGCCGACGTTACGAAAGAGAAAGAATATCGCCTCCTACAATGTTAAAGGGTGTAAGCTCGCAACTAAAATTTAATTTTTGCAATACACTTATTCCTTCTGCCAAGCAGGAACGGAAGCATTACTGCGTTATGGTTTTGAAGGTTGGCGATACTATAGATACAGAGAACTTCTTTCTTTATGCCTCAGTAGCTCTACTATTTAAAGGATGGAAAAAATAATTGAACTCTACCACGAGTTTACTATGACAATTGTCGCTACGACCGTGTAAATTGCTTCACAATTTTGGATGGCATATTATTCAGCGCGCATAGCGACCACAAGAAGAAACAACATTTTGTGCACAAACATTTACATATGTACAAATGAATAGTGACGGTAAATCTCATGGTAGAGGCATTGCAATTTACATTGCAACTGTCATCGATAGGCGTGTCGTTCACCACCGAAGACCCACGACTTGTTCCTCCTGTCATTGGGTATCATAAAAAAATTGTCTTTGGGTGAAAACCCTACTAAAGCGCGGGCTACACCACGATCGAGGCTAAGCTAAGACAATACGTAGTAAGTAGTGACGTGCTACACTATGAATACGTGCGGGGGTAAAGGGTGGCAGAAGAGCGACATGTCGATGCCTTACTTACTTATTAACTGCCTGCGTGGCCGAACGGTTACCATGCCGGACTGCCACGCAGAGGTCCCAGGTTCGATTCCCGGGCCGGGAGAAATAGTTGTATGGCCTACAATTATTTCTCTCGTGAGTTTGGGTGTAATTTGTGGTTGTCTATGTGTGTGTCCATGGCACCCGCGACACAGGGTTTTCCCTAGTGCGGGGCTATGTTGAGTGTGTGCGTTATTTATTTATTTATTTATTATTATTATTATTACTGTCTCAAACACGTATCATATAAAGAGTGATATTGAGGAGATGGCAAAACTTTCTATTTATTTCAAATTTCTTATCAAGGGTGTTTATATGAAGGAACAATCACATTGCAGTTTTTTCATTTCAGTTACTTTGTGCTTTAAGATACTAAATAAATGGAGAAAAGTTAGACCTTGTTAATAAAGCTGTCTTTTTGGGAGTGACCTTAGAGAGTAAACTTCAATGGTTTCCACATATACCTTCCTTATTCAGCAAATTAAGCTCGGCTGCATACGCGGTCCATAGAATACGTGAGCTTACCGATGTTGCTACTGCTAGACTAGTTTATTTTAGTTACTTCCATATAGTATAATGTCCTACGGGATTCTCATGTGGGGTAAAGCGGCAGATATACAAACCATATTTGTGTTGCAAAAACGAGCTATTCGTTCTGTGTACCGTTTAGGTTCTCGGATTTCTCTCAGAGAAAAGTTTAAGGAGACTGGTATCACGACTGTGGCATCACAGTACATTTAATCAAATATTTTGTATGCCCGTAAATATATACATAATTTCATTATGAAAAAATATATCCATAATATTAACCTTAGAACTAAGTCCAAACTCACGATACCACGATTTCGTTTGACTAAGGTAAACGATTCTTTTATGGGGAATTACGTTTTTACAATAAGATTCCGGAGAATATATTAAGATTATCATTTCCTAAGTTTAAAACTTACATTAAAAGTATTTTAATTGAAAAGTCATATTACAAAATTGAAGAGTCTGTTTTAAATGAAAAAGTATGGAAAGACAACAAGAGTCTAGATTCCACACAATTATGATTCAAAGTGTATTCTGTAGCATTTAAGTTTATTTGAAAAGAGCAATCCCTAGAGTTTCTTGCTTGTTCTTCTCAGGGAGGTCAGCGTAGTGAACGAGCAGTAGCTTAAAAAGTAGCTTAGAAAATGACGTTTTCAAGTATAAAAAATTTACTTATGAAATAAATGATTTTTGACTTTTCGACTTTGAGAAAGTAAGGCGACGATATTTTACAAAGCTTAGCGGGATCTTTGGGGCTCCGTTCACCAGTACGTGAGTGTGGTAGAAGCGAGGAGGACGACGAGGCGGTGTGGCCCGCTTCGTCGTGGGTAGGAGGAGGGAGAGGACCTAGCTCCTCCCAGGTGCTGGGGAGGTTCCGGTACGCAAAGTCGATCTCGGATCCCTTTCATTAGTGCACCCGAGAAGGCCACCGTGGGCTTTTAGCCGGTAGAAGTCCACCAGGCATCAGAGGCATAATATAGTAATAATAATAATCCAAGGAGAATATCCCCGCGAAAAAAAGTTTAGTTAGCTCAGTTAGCTTAGCTGTTGTGGCATAGCCTGCGCTTGACAAAGAGCCATTATTATAAAAGATGGTATCCTATCAATGTGCGATTAATTATCGACACGCTATATCACTTATCAGCGTTTATAGAGACACGCCCTGTTGTTCCCATCTTATGGTAATCATTCATTGACCAAAGAACGACAGGCCGTCTATAACTAGTTGAACGAACGACCTTCGTTGTACTCCCATGTTTACTAGCTTTTTACGTCGCGTTATGAATTTGCCGAGTCTACATTCATATGTGGGTAAGGTCGAAGGGTGTTGCATACTAGTTTACGTTTACGAAGAAAAAGGAGGGTCTGTATACTTTCTAATAATAATAATAGTAACGTGCTAGGCAAGCCCATCAATTACACAGTCTCAAGTGAAGGACTTCCCTGTACCTATTGTACACCTAGTGGTGGCCACTTACGTGGCAGTCCAGCATGGTAACCGTTCGGCAACAGAGGCAGTTAAGCAGCAATTAAGTACGTGTGGCAAAGATTTGAGGAACACTGCCACTGCACCTGTCACCCTGAAACATAAGTTGATAAGCCCCATGTGCCTGTGATTTCACCAACAGCCTTGCCCTTTAAAACCAGAACGGCAGAAATAGGCAAGATTATAAAATGTTAATTTTAATACATACACGTCGTACTTAATGTTAATTTTATTTGTTTATTTATTTTTACTTTAATTATTGCGTACACACCAATTACAATAAATAAAGAAACTTAAAAATAATTACATGAAATCAAATTATAATATCAATCAATTATAAATCAGTATTAAATATAAAAAAAATAAATTACGACCTTATGTACGCTTTCCTGGAAGTTTTGTCGTAAAAACATATAAACATTTTTCCACGATGGACTTTTCTTCATCGGAATCCTTTCAGCATTCGTAAGCTTGCGTTCATCATTTGAAGGCTTGAGTTATATCTCTTCTATTGGCTCAGAGATTTTTCAAAAGTAAAATATAAAAAAATTTCACTTCAGGATTCGTACTTCTATCATCTTCTATCATTTATAAGCCGGCGAATTCCACCATTTGTAACTGCGGCGTAGCTTGGGATGCGTAGCGAGAGGTACTTTTATGAATATAAACTGGAATAATCTTCAAAAATATACTTTATTGCACTTTTTTACATGCTTATAGTGTTGGGTTACATTTCGTTAATTCAAGATGCTCCATTCTTTTCTTAAATCATTTTTCAACACATTTTAATTACAAAACTATTCATTCAGCCAGTGATTCTACTCATAGAGTAGAGCCTAGACTACAGTACCTTTCAAGTATCCAATATTCCCTGGCCATCTATACCCAAACAAGCCGCATACAGAGAGAGTCGTGCGGTATAGGTGAATTAACGCGCTACGATTCGGGACCACGGGGTGGCAAACAACTTGTGGATTCTACTACGATGATAGTTGTTAGGCGCATAGAGTCGAGACAGCTCTTTATTCAAGTCTGGGGAACATATATTACCGTACAGAAATTTGCACATAACGACGAGTTGGCGTAAGGAGTGAATAAATTACACGTAATACGTAATCTACGTCCATTCCTGCTAAAAGTTGAAGTTGTGTCGCCAACTCGCGTTCTGGTACCTTGTCATAGGTAACGCATTTCCATTTCGAGATAATGGCACCATAAGTTTCATTGTTACCCTAAAAAAATGTCAATGATGAAACTTAATGAGATATTAATTAGAAGACAGCTCCCTATTGCATAGAACACGTAGCAGTTTTAACAGCATTTTGGAAATGTTTAATTATAAAATAGCAGAGCCCATGCATGAGCATTTTATTTGCGTGCTGGTGTGACAGGCCACACATACATAATTTGAATTAAATTAAAATGTAGGTCAAACAGGGGGTGCAATTTTAATTTTTACTTTTATTTAAATTTGAATGTTGTTTTTTTTAAATTTTATTTTATTTTAATTGTAAGTTTTTAATGTTACTTTATTACACTTTTGAGTTTGAAGGCGTTGCTCTCTTTAGATGAAACCAATACCCAGTAGTTGGAATTAGAGGTTGGTACAGATGTAAACAATAAGCCGTCAGACGTAGTGAATTATGTTTTGAGTTAAATCATTCAACAACGTTGTCTTAGTTTCTTATATTAACAATGGCGTTTGATAACTGATGATATTGAACACATCATGTATATAAATTTGAACTATTTTCATACACCGTCTTCTATTTTCTTGTGAGTTTACTTCCATTTAGGTACATACAAAGGTTGCTTAAAGTGATACCATCGCTTATTTTTTAATTAATTGTATTGCATTATTTGTTTCCATTTTGGTGTACAATAAATAAAGTATGTATTTTTGTATTTGCAGTAACGTATTGTAATCCTAGCAGATATTATCAATGGTACCAAGACATCGGAATAACACCCACTCCCTAGATTTGTTTGCCGCTTCTCCCCGAGGAGCTGACACCTTGATCTATATCTAAGTGACGTGGACATAATAAAGGTCACATAGTACTAAGTTAAACGATGTGGAAACATTCGACACAAATCTTTCCACCTCGAACAGTCGAGGGGATATAAACTGAAGAATTTCTGGTTTATTTGTGAAGCACACCACTACATATGCAATTCCGAGCTCTCGCTAATATCCCTATAACAAATAATGGTACCAGGCAAACGTACTTATTACGTGATATCAAAGTATAATAAATTAATACAATTTATTATAATAATAACCCAAATGAAAGCTTATAACATAGAGAAAGTGCAGAAAACGTTTGTAAGATTTTATTTTTTTTAAATTTATACAAACATGCAAATAGGTTCTACCCCTACATGTATCCTACTAAGTTTTTTTTTGTTATCTTGGTTATAATTCATTGGAGGTTAGACGAATGAAACACCAAGTTGTGGCTGTGTGCAAAATTATGCTCCTAACAATTATCACCACCATAGAAGACACAAGCTGTTTGCCACCCCGTGCTTCCTGATTCCGCGCTCCCAGTCGGCGCTCAATTCTCTCCTTGCCACCAACACTAAATGCGACTTCTTTACAATCCATCTGTCGGTCAGCGAGATAGGATTGGTTTCGACGAGTAGTGTTAGGTGGTGACAAAATTAAGTGTTAAAATAAATGTGGTGATGCTATAATTAAAATAATAAGCCTCATCAAGTCTCATGTACAATTGATGATAAAAAAAAACCCAAATGTGAAATTTATGTCATTGTTTAAAGCAGAAATTCCCAGACTGTTTTTCTCATAGACCACTTTCAAAATTTAACTGGTTCCGGTGGACCCCCTGCAGCTACATTTCTACCATATTCCATATCCAAATTATTTTATGTCACGCCAACATAGGCCCCTGTCGAGTCTCCCGTGGAGCCCTGGGGGTCTAAGTCCCACTTTGGGAACTAAAAGTTAAAGTAACAAAATCAGAGACAAACCGAAAATAAAATTGTTTAAAACCTGCTAATGCAGAAAGAATTGAACTTATTATAAATTAATACAAAGATCGAACACGTAGTAAAAATTCCTTCGATCTGTTGGGATTCGAACCAACGTCTTCCAGCTTTAATAGATTTCTTGCAGATGGCGCTACGGGAAAAAAGTCGTTGAATCTGCAACAAGCACATAGAAAAATTCGTAAGGTCCCCTAGTTCGTCCCGTGGCTTAATTGGCAAGCGGCTGGCACGGTTTGCTGGAAGACGTTGGTTCGAACCCAGCCGGAGCCAGAATAATTATTACAAACTAGTGGAGTAATTTCACAAAAATAATTTAATGTCCTGGTGGACAAACATCATGACTTCAATAAAATAAAAAATTAATTCTTTTTTTGTTTATTAACACTCTGTATTGTTGCAGCGACGCGGCGGGGACCGGGTGACAATCATGACGGGCAGACTACAGATATCGCTGATTACGAGACGGCCCTTGACATTGCCGGTAGGTATTTTATTTGATTTTTAGTTCGGGACTTAATCATGTGTAAAACATTTTTTTCTATAATCCCAAGTGACGGGAAGAACATATCGTGCGCCTGATGGTAAACGACACGCCTGTCCATAACAGTTTCAGTGCCACTCAGAGCTTTAAATCGCAAAATTTTGAGGGGCGCTGCCACTTCGCCCGTTACCTTGAGACATAAGTCGACAAGTTCCATATGCCTGTAATTTCACTAACACCCTTACCCTTCAAAACCGGAACACAGTAATGCCGACATTACTGCTTGGCGGCAGAATAAGTAAGGTGGCAGTACTTCCCTGGACGAACTCTTTCACTAGGAGGTCTACTGTTACTATTTAAAAAAAAAAAATTAATTATTTTAATTAGGTACCTCGACGTTTCGGATGTACTGCAACGCTTATAGTCTCGAAGGGACTGAAGAGGCGGTTGTCAACATCTTCTAGCGGTGCGAGTTTTTCTAACCACCCGCACTTGGCCTTTATTATTTATTTGTGCACTAGGGTTGTCACTAGACCGACACACAACACTCACGACATCCGGCGACTTGTCGGACGATACATGATGTCGTTTACATTTGCTGATAACTGGATCCCAGGACGATGAAAGCTTAAAACCGTCTTCTCGGTTGAAATTACGGTGTTTTTTTAATTTCAATAACTTCACGTACGATTCTACTATAGTGATGATTTTCTATAGAAAGGTTCTTGGGATTATGACGCTCAATCCGGCTTGTTTCTTATTCCAGCAAATGCTCGGCTATTGCAGACTTATCGAGCTGACGGTTCCTAACGGCCGCGATGTGTAAAAATCGTGAAAGTTTAAATGTATTTTGTTCATTTTCATAGGACAACTTGTTCTCAATCAGTGTGTCCTGCCTTTTTTTTTTTGACGGGGGGAAATCTTTATGGATACCCCTGAGCCCAGGGAGACTCAGGGGTTATGTAGGGACTCTCCCTCCAGACTGGAGGGCCTACACCACCCCAACCCCCCCGGGTTTCCCTCTCGCCGGTTGAGTCGGCGCCGTGGGATCAGTGAACATTCACCACGACCTAGCTTACGCCAGGGCTCCCGCGCCAACGGAGAGGCGAGTCGGTTGTCCTCCGACCCGCCCCCCAGACGAGTGAGGCCGTGCAATTCTGGCTCCGGTAGTGTGTCCTGCCTGCCAATCGTGCGTGAGTGAAGCAATATCCTCCTAGAGGTTTAATACGTGTTATTTGTATTTACTCTCTCTAACTGTGGAGGAAAACATTGTAATAAAACCGCATGCCGAGTCAACCCGCACTGCGCCGGGTGACTAACGACACGTCTACACCGCACCATAACCACGTACTTGGGAGTGGAAGATCTAAAGATCACAGTCTTATTATGTAACTACAAGTTCATGAGACAAGAAGAAAGGTAAAGATGCTGGAGAATTTACACACACATGGGACTTGTCAACTTATGTCTCAGGGTGACAGACGCAGTGGCAGTGCCCATCAGCTCTTTACTATTTGAAACTCTGAGCGACACCAGGTGCACGGATTTTCGCCCCGTCACTCGGTGTCATAAAAGTATATTCCCAAGGAGGGTAGACGTCAGGTAGGCGGCCAGTCATAAAACGCCATGCCAAATCTTTTTACAACATTATATTCAAGAGTGAAGGATAATAATGACCTGAATAGGGCGTACCCCACAGGCGACGCGCAGACGCAGCACCCAGCGTATATGGAAAGTGGACTAGGGTTGTTGCATCAGAGACGAGTACCACGTAGGTAAGAAGCGGGTCCGGGAAGTAAGACTGAGAAGACTAGGCGTCATAAAATAAATACAGATGCTACTTGAAATTTGTGACTGTATTCAGATTATTTGTGATCCCAAATTCTGTTAAATATTATCGTCAAATTTAAATGGAACCACCACTGTGGTTTTCCAACAAAAAATAATCATCAAAATCGGTTCACAAACACGAACAGTTAACATACTGGACTGCCACGCAGAGGTCTCGGGTTCGATTCTAGCCTGGTAAAAACATTTGTATGACCTACATCTATTTCTGTCATGACTTTGGGTGTAATTTGTGACTGTATGTGTCTATGAGTGTGTCCACGGCACCGGCGCTGCAGTGTTTTCTTAGTGAACACAAAAAAGTACAGTCGTATTTATAACCTCCTCCCTTTTCGGTTAAAAATGGCAACATTTATCCATAGGCACTATCCTCTAATTCAAGAGGAATTTTAATGTTCTAAAAAATTTTAAAACATTAAAATTGACCCAGTTTATACTATACTAAATATCATTTTAAAAAAGCATCGACATCGATAACGTACTTCGATTCTGCTCCTCACCACTCCAATATTTTATACGGATTAAGAACCTTCAGCTCGCTCTTTTGTCCAGTGGCGCAGTCAAGGCCACCGGCAGCTAACTGCAAAATATCCTTCATAAAAAAGTAGAATGAACTGGACAGTCTTTGTGAGACAACTTGTACCACGACAGGGACATAGAAGCACGAGATATGGCTATTCTCTATGCGAGAGCTAGCAGTATTATTTCTATTTTATTTTGACAAACCTCTCTTGTCTCACTTACATTCATCAATCTTTTTATACACGCCCATTTATTCTTCTCACTATACACCCCAGCCTTTTTAACAATACTCAGAATAAGATCTGAAAGTGTTCTTCGAGGCCATCATCTTCCAATGATGCCTTCTACGTTATCTTTATTATATTTCTTTCGTTAATCTATATTCATTCATCTGTTACATACGCCGAAACCACCTCAGCATATCCTTTTCTAATTTTGTCATTATACCCTCTTTGAAACCACATCGTTCACGGATCTCAGTATTCTTCATTCTGTCAAATAACCGCACATTGTATTATATGAAATGATTATTATTTTTATCTACACACATATCATAAACCGTCTATGATGTGTTCAAAAACCGCAAATTACGACCAGCATAAAGATAAACTGTTTCGTTAGAACAAATTTTTTATCTGTGAAAATGTTATTATTGCTTCATAATAACATGGAATTCGATTTTATTTTTACATTCAAATTTCGAACATCTCTGAAACACAATACAATTTGATTGGACCTCAATTCTAATATCAGTCGAGATGAAGTTTTATTCGAAATGAAATGTCAATAGCAAACAATTTTGACAATTTCACACGTTACTTGATATCGAACGATATGACAGTTGCGGCCGATTCTAATTTGTCTATGACTTAAAAATAACAACTACGACTGTGTGACATGCGTGAGAAAAGTTTTTATTTGCCGCCATTTCGCCAGTCGGAACATGCGGTTCTTGAACACATCATATGAGAGCTTATAATATGTGTGTAGATGAAGCAGTGTATGTAACTGTACATAATTAGGCATTAAAACACTCGTGTGATGTTTTTGTGAAACCCACGCTCGTATTTTCATGCCTTTCATTATGTAACAGTCACATAAAGTACTATTTTTATAAAAATGACTTTTTTATGGGACCCAGTGACGGGACGAACCACAACAGTTGCAGTGCCACTCAGTACTCTAAAATCACAAAAATCTGAGGCGCACTGCCACTGCTCCCGTTACCCTGAGACATACGAGGTGAGGCAGAAAAGTAATGAGACTGATTTTTATTTTTTCTAAACATCAATGTTATCCCCTTCAAAGTAGGTCCCTTCGGAAGCTACACACCGATGGAGACGTGGTTTCCATCGTTGTCCTCAGTCCATGTCACTTTCAAAAGACGTCCAAACTTCCAAAAGAGTGTGACGGACATGCTGAAGACCATACCGGTTGAAGGCTTCCAGCGCTGCTACCAACAATGGGAACAACGTCTCCATCGGTGTGCAGCTGCCCAAGGCAACTACTTTGAAGAGGATAACATTGATGTTAACAAAAAAACCTTTGGTAAATAAAAAATCAGTCTCATTACTTTTCTGCCACAGTTGACAAGCCCATATGCCTGTAATTTCACCAGCACCCTTACCCTTCAAAACCGGAATGCAGTAATGCTGACATTATTGCATGGCGGCAGAAATAGGCAAGGTGGCAGTACTTCCTTTGACTGCAATATCACGTTTTAACATATTCAAAAGTATTTCCTAGGCTATTAGTAACTTTATTTATACTATTAACACTCCCCTGACACACGCGGATTTGCACTTAACGGTATCAAAGGACCGGTTGTTGACCAGTTACAGCCACGACAACCGAGCGTTCTAACTGTAAGCCCAAAATGGATCTGGAGGGACAAGGTTCTTCAATACAGTGCTAATTGATAAGATAAAAAAGAACTTCAGATAGCGCCAAGCAAAAAGACATCACCATCAACGTTTATACGTTCCACTGCTGTGTACGGGTCTCCTCTCTAACGAGGATTTTTGGGCCATAGGCCGCCACGCTGCTGGGCTAACCCGGGTTTTCCGAGAGTTGTAAAGTGAGAGTTTTTTGTTTGGAAAGATGGTACCTCAATATTGATCACATTTGACTTTGAAGAAAAATTCCACCTGTATAGGTAAAAAACCGGGGGATGAGTCCGCTTTTGCGCACTTTCTGGTAACCGATTTGAATAAAACTTGGCAAATAAATATAATTGTAAAAACTTTTGAGGTGGATTTTTTTTTATAAAAAGTTATCCTCAAAGTTATGGTAAATTCAAATTAACCAGACATTAATTAAACAGACTATTTAGAACTATAATGCCAATTTACTTTGCCACGTAGATTAGAAGGGAATTTTTTTAGCGAAATTTGTACGTAGCATAATAACCTTATGCCCATTGGGTAACGTACAAACTTGCGTGAGAATTTTCTGGAACACGCGTGATCTATCTCTAGGTTTGTAGACCTGACACAAGCATTTTTGAATAGTCAAAATCACACAAGAGATTACGAAAAAAAGACAAGTCAAATAAAACATTTCATACGAAACGGTAAGGTGGTAACAAAACTATGTATTAACTCCACGCGTTATCTCGCCATAAGTTTATT